GTATATAAGATGTATGCCTGTAGTAGAGAACATTCTCGATCTATCTTGTGTTCTCCTATGCATATTCGAAATTGTTAGCATATTTAAGTATATCAGTTCTCTTTCTTTTGCCAATAATAACGCGATAGTCATTTCAAAAAAAAAGAATTCATTTTGTTGAACAAAATAATTAATGCCGAAAAGTAAAAAACATTCTGAAGATTTTTGACAATTAATTATACAACATCATTTGTTGGAGAAAAATCTTTGTAAAATCACCGAGATTTTTCGAACTGCAAAACCTACGGTTCACTCAATTCTTAATAAATATAAGAATACGAAGATGATCAAGACAATGCCAGATCATTGTAGAAAATGAAGAACAATATATACTGTTGATCAAGTTATTACTAACAAAATACGAAAAAATTGTAGTAAATCTTCCAAAATTATTCAAAATGAACTTATGAATAAGTTAGGTGTTTCTATTTCTCAAAGAAAAATTCAATCTTGTCTCAATGAAATTGGTCATCAAAGTCAAATTGCATGAAAGGAACCACTAGTGAAAAATAACAATCGATTGAAATGGCTAGGATATTCGTATATTACCTAACAAAACCAGATTAGTTTTGAAATAATGTGATATGAACAGATGAGGCAATGTTCAGTTTATTTGGATCATATGGAAAACACATGACATGGCATAAGGTTGGTGAAGAATTTTCGCTTGGATGTATTGTATCAACAGTAGAGAAGGGCGGTGAAAACTCGAAAATTTTAGGTGCATGAGGATGTGGGTATAAAATTGATTAGATATCTACACCCCCACCCACATCCATACCCTTTTCTCTATTACTACATAAAAAAGAAAATTTCTTCAATCATTCTATCTTGCCTGTTGTTGTTTGGGACTTTCCTATAGAAACAAGTAGAATTATAGTAATGATAATTGATGTTATTATACATCGACGCGAACATCTGCAATAAATATTGATAAGAAATAGAAATATATATATAATTGATGAAAAGAAAAGAAAAACTTACATTTTCTTTTTATTCTTTTTCTTATTTCGATGATGATCATCTATTATTCCGATTCAATCTGAGGATTCATTCTTGGTCTATTTTTATTTGAGAGATTTTTCATAAGAGTCATTTCACTTAAGCTACGACTTTTTGCTACAGAGGCTGCTCAATCGATTCTTTCAAATTCCGATTTCGCATACATATTTCAAAAGTGTACCAGTTAGTGAGTCTTTTGCCACTAAGCACACTTGGATAGCTCAAAGTACCACTGAGAAATTCAATTTTTAATTTTAGGCCATTTTTCTTCGTCTGACGTTGTTGATCTACCCTGTGTCTACTAAGAAGCATGCCATATTCGATTGAGACGATAGAGAATGATAAAAATTTCAGGATAGATACATATTGAATAGCTCTACAAAAGAGAACAACCTTGAGCTCTGGGCGTTGCTTAATGGCTGCATTATAGATGTCGCTAGTAGCTAAATTTTCACAATCGATATCTATTGCGTAACCAAACTATTTTACTGATGTGATGATTAAATTGAAATATAAGAACGAAGAAATTTGAATATATTTCATTTGTCACATATAAGAAAGACATAATATGTGTTATAAGAAGGTTTCGTATGTTTACATTGTATATTTGAAAGTTTCGCTGCCAAAATTAATGAGAAAGAAAATCATCTGTCGTCATTATTTCATTTTCATGCATTTTATTCAAAATAACTCAAACTATATTCTTCAGTATTGAAGAAAATTTTCTATTCTACAGGGTTGCTAACATTAACATATTTAACTTCGGTCAATTTCCATTGATATCTTATGAGAAAAGTGATTCACAATGACAAGATTATTAGAGAATTAATCAAAAAGCTTGTTAGCGCAGCTACTGTGAAACTCACATATGTTCTCTAGCCTCAGTAAACTAATATAAAATGCGTAAAACGAAAAGTCTCTTGTAGACTATAGTTGTTTTCTAAGATAATCGGTCACCAGAGAAAGAATCTGTCTTAATTTATTGCTGCATTTTAAACAGAACCTTTTTTTTCAAGGGCGCTCTACTTTTGTTTGCATCGTTGCTATTCGCTCATTATTTTTCTTTTTCGTATTTCGTTTTTCTTAATGTAACATTGTTATTATTATAAACATTGAAATAAATAGCAAATAAGACTGGGTGTGGATGTATGGTACGCGTGTGCTTCTCGTTCATTCACACTCGACAGCCGCACCTCCACTCCACGCCTGAATCATTCACTATAAAAGAAAACTTTCTTTAGTTCAACATTGCCGCCCTACACATCATTTTCTCTTCTTATCTACGAGTATGTCTACTTTGTCAATATTCTTAGTATAAGCGACCGTTTCAGTAAATGAAGGATCTGAATAGTCTCTATCGAATGAAAGCAACTACTGCAGATTATCTTATTTGATACCGAAAAATAGCATAAGGCAATAATTATAATAGAAATGGCAGTTGAATTGTAGATACCTAAAGAATTCTTTCGAATTATACTGTTGATTTTATGTATTCTGTCACATGTTTGCACAACTGCATGTACTTTTATCTTTATGCCGATAACAGCAAGGCGAATAGAAAAAGAACGACCATTTTATATGCATGATGATATAAAAGAACGGATGCAACTGAAGCATGAGCAATGGAGACATACAAAGAAAATGTATCCATCGTAACTACTAATGGAACCATGATTAATCGTCAAGTGACACAACCTTTGCGCTTCGAAAATCTTCCAAATGAAATATTTCATGAATTGAAATCTTATCTCACTGCCAACCGTCTATATCAAGCATTTTTCGGTTTGAACACTCGTTTTGATGCCCTTCTTGCTTCGCTTGACAATCTACAGTATGAGATTTGCTCAACTGCTGAGCAACAACGTGGTGCAACGGACTTGTTCGGCTCGCACTTCGTCAGTGTCAATGTTCCTCATGATGGCCAAGTTCCTCATGATGGCCAAGCTGTATCTATTGCAACAACATTTTCTCATCTTCGCTCGCTCACTCTTCAACGTGCAGTTCGGTTGACGTCGACTACGTTTTCAATTATCGAAAGAATAACGCTTGATCTGTCCAATATGTGACTCAAACATACTGCTTGCATTTGCAAATGGATCTTTTCTGATCGTGCCAAATCTCTCAGTGCTTTTCATCTCGTACATAGAAAGAGTAGTGCTATTGGTCACTGGAAACCATTAATCAATTCTATCTGTTCTCAGTCATCGACATTGACACTGTTTACTTTCGATATTCAACCAACGATTGAATGGAACATGTTTGTTCATTTTCTCAGCAAGATGCCCAACCTTGAGCGACTCATCGTTAAAAAACTAAATACTCGCAATCGATGGATACCTTGCAGTTTTGCAGAGACACTCAAAACGGTTGTATCAAAATTAAATTTTCTTCCAGTTCAACTCACATTCTTGAATGCTAATATTCTTACAATTCCAAATTGTGACGACTATTGTCATCTTCATCCACTCTTTGCACATGTTACCTCCACAAGAAAAAAAAAATCAAGTCATTGGAATTCCACAATCATAATTTCATCGCGAGCCTCATAAAGACTTGTTCTAAGAACAGTATCCACGCATGTTTTACCACTTCCTCACTTCTCTCATCATAAAAGTTATATTGAAATCTCCTATATGCTAACTACCGAGAAACTACTGTCAAGAAGTCGCCAATATATCAAAGGGTATAATGTGTAGTTTAACGCTGCTTTTTTAAAAGTGTTTTCTCATGATGTATTGGAACAAAATGCGTAAATATTGTTTGAAATTATTGAAACCATTAAAGAATACGAAATAGGGTGATTTATAAGTTGATTTATAACTATTTTAACTGTTGGGTTACATTTTGAACCCCTTTATTTATCCGGCATGTATTTATCAGTCCAGAAATCTTTTTCTAACTTGTATACCGATTGGTCAATCAATGTTATCTTTATGAATCGGATACTTATTTATGAAGCGAATCACTCATGTATAGATTTAACAGCCAGTTATACTTAGGACTATCCAAAAGTGGGTATGGGTGTGGGCGTGAGTATGGGTACTCATATTTTCTGTATTCATCTATACCCATACCATCTACATTCATACTCTTATCAGAGTTGGAGTGGAGTTGTATGGAGTTGGAACAGTCCATGGTGAAGTTAGAGTTGGATAGAGATTTTAGAAAATTGAAGCAGAGTTATATGGAATTGGAGCGGGGCATATGCGAAATTGCCCATCTCTGTTTACATATACATAAGAGAAAGCAAATATACGAATTATCGATTTACTTATTCCGATAAAGAAAAAGAAGTTTTTTCATGAATTATAAAAGACACGTTACTTAATAATCAAGATCGATTTCCTATTTTGACAATGTTATGATAATGATATAGATAAAGTATTATCATAATCTTTCGTTATTTGATAAGTTTATACAATTTTTATTGATTCGTGTTAATAATTTTCGATAATCGAAAAATTTTGACCTGTTTAATTTGTATCTTGAAACAATGAATAAAATGTTTTTCTATAAAAAAAATCTCCTTTGTCAAAATCAAATAGAAAAGATTTCTGGTATTTTTATTTCAATCAAACAATACAACGAACAAAAGAATAAAAAAATAAAAATAAACTTAACAATTTAATGAAAATAAATATTTCTACTTGTAGACTTTATTGATTGTTTGCAGTGACTGTTCGTATCTTATTTTGAGAGATAATCAAGCATATCATAATAAATGAAACATTAGTAAATTGATATTGCTTTCCATGAAAACATTAAGTTTAGCTATACTTTTTTATATAACATATTTTGATTGTTTTTTTTATCTTACTAGGTGTAGACATTCATAATTAATGAAATAAAAACAGCATGAAATATGATGATTAACTGTTAATATAAACTCGATAAAATAAGTGAAATTTGGATCAAGTAAAAATGTATGGTTTCATGATTAAAAAAAATGCTTCTGTCTTTTATGAACGAATTTCTTTGTTTGAACCGTTACTTGATTGAATTGCAGTTGGTAACTTTGAAAGACTTCTAACTGGCATATCAGTAATACTTAAAATTGCTTGAGAGGTAGCTTCATCTATAGCAACATCTCGTGTGATTTCTGATGTTTCAGGAGATAATGTATCTTTTTAAATAAACAAAAAAAAGAAAAGATTATTTTATTATAAAAAATAAAAATATTTTGAACTGTACTATTTGTCAATTCTGTTCCAGTTGATTGTTCATCAATATTATTCATTTGATTTGATGAAGTATTTATTGGAACAACATCAGCAATAGATGCATTATTTGATGATACTTCAACTATTTAGATATTTTAGTTTAAATATAGAACAAACAGAATATAAAAATGTCTAACATACCTATTTGATTGTTAGTATAAATTAATTCCTCATTATCTTCAACATTCACGAAACTATCGGGAATAAGATTTTGTTCTAAACAAAGAAACACTTTTGAATTATAATGTCATTGTCAAGTGATTATTTCAATAGCCCATACAGGCATATGGAACCAATTTGAGTCCTAGTTCCAGTGACTAGAGCTAAACTAAGGAAACTTACTGCTACTGGAACTAAAGTTTATAGTGAAATATTTTGTAAGCTGGAGAAAATTAGCTTATAAATCATCTGAACCAAAACAAAATTTAGGAAGAATGATTAAATAGCGCAATTCCTGTGGGATTAAAATGTGAAACACGATATACCTATTGTTACTAGTTTCCTAAAAACTGCTCTTTTTTACGTATACTGGACATATTCCATCAACATTACTAAATTTACAGAGTAGAACTTCATAAAGGAAATATTACAATTAGATGTTACTTATACATAACATCTGATAGTCTCTTCAAAGCGGCTATCAGCCGCTATGATGATCCATAAAAAGAGTGTCTGTCACAGTCTGTGATGAATCGTGTTTCATAAAAAAGTGCTACTCATCGAGAAAATAAACGAATATTGAAGAATTATTTTAAATTCAATATGAATAAATCGTAAAATCGTTTTTTCGAGATCATGACCCGAAAAATAAAAATCACTAAAAGCAACATCATTGGAAAAGAAGTTCTCGGAATTGGGACCAAAACAAAATAAATCGAAAGTTAACTCACCATCATCATCATCATTGTTCGTAGATATTTCATGAATATTTTGTGTTTCACTTGTAATAACAGAAAAATCTGTGTCTTCTAGATTAAAAAAAAAACAAATCAATTAAACTATACGAAATTTCATTTTGTAACTCACGTGGAATCTCATCCGGTGCTCTTGTTACAGTAGTTTCCGCCGGTATGTCTAAATGTTTTTTTTTATCAAACCACACTAATTAAAAAAAAATTGCATTAAATAATATAAATTACCAATTGGTCGTAATGGTGCAGCAATTTCAGCGGGATTATTTTGTGTTATTACATTCATATTAATACGATCAGTTTCATCAATGGCAAATTGATCTTGAAATTACAAAAAAAAGAAATTATTTACTTTAAAAGTAATGAATTAATTTCTTTCTAACTTCGATCAATATTATTTAAAACAATTATTGGTGGCATACGATGTGCTTGAGTATTCTCTATGGATTCACTTTCTCGAAAATATGTAAAATATTCTAGAAAAAAATAAATAAGATAAGAATTAATAAACAAATATTTTTAAAGATAAAAACCTTCGATAGTTAGTGAAAATTGATAATCATCCATCCAACGTACACGTTCATTCGTAGGATCTATAGAAATAAATATATTTTTCATTATTAATCATATCTTCAAAATTCATAAATAGAACTTACAATCGATATGTTCCGCTAGTAGATAATTTTGATTCGAACCAAAAATATCTGAATCAAGCATAAATATTTAATAAATAGATGCAAAATAGATTTACAAGGAAGCAGTAAATTCTCATTCGATGGATCAGAATGACCTAGTTGTACACTATAGTGATTCGGGCGATATAATACATTATAATGAACATATGGATATCCACAAATTTGCTGATTTATATTGCTCTGATCAGCATTATTTGATTGTGTTGTTTCAATTGGTTGAGAACAAACTACATAACCAAAAAATAAATAGGTTTACAAATTTGATTTTATCTATATTAAAATAATTACTTATTCGTTGTTGATTTGATGTTAATAAACTAGTAGAAAGAGATCTGACAGTCGTTGCTAAGTCACATCCATCTTCTGTAAAGATTTAAATGATTTTAATCGTAGAAGTATTCATTAAATTTGATTCAAAAATGATTCTACATATTTCAAGTTCTGTTTTCTTACCATCGGATGATTCATTAGAATCCAGGTCATCATCATTTGAAGTACGTGCCCTATTTTTACTAGCCATTTGAGCATAGAAATTTCTTCAGATAATGCAACAAGATAAACTTTATTAAAACGTAGGATCGTGTTAAAAAAAGTTATATTTAAACAAGAGTAATGATCTAGAACACAACAAAAAATCAGTTGTCGTTTTTTTATTATTTTTTTTCTTTAATTTTGTTTTTATGTTTGTCATGCTTTTTTTTGCCCGGGGATGTCACATCAAAGTTTGTGTATCGACAATTTATATATTGCTTAAAATCTTCATAGTTTCTGTGTGATTCACATCCTACATTATATTGGTCACCTTTTGCTTCTTTTTTTTCTTCTTTTATATGTTTTCATCTGAGTTTTTGTTACTCACGCAAAAAGAAAACAAAATTCTAACAACGAAAAACTCAGGTGAGACACAGTCTTATGCCGTCAAAATACAAAATGAAAATGTATCGACGCAAAACTTCGACATTGTTAAGTAAGTAGATATAGATATGTAATGTAAGAGAAGATAATTTTATAGATATAAGAAATAAGTTGAAAGGAAGTTATACGGAATGAAGAATATTTTCATGAAAGTGAGTAATAAAAAATATTTTGAAGATCAAGTTTTTATCATTTTACTGAAATCAATAAGTTCATCTCTCCATTAATATCGATATACTTATAATTTAGAAGATTTCGAAGAGTCAAAATGCAAAATGAAACTTTTACGATTGAAAGTATTTTTTTCAAAACAATCCAAGTCATAGTATTCAGATCACTGTCATTTAAAAGAGAACTCCTTGGCATTCCGGATGAGAGCAAGACTATTTTTATTTCATTTTTTGAATCTTCGGAAGTAGAGGTACAACAATAAAGCCGATGAGTACATGAAGAACTTACAGTGATAATCCGTGTATTAGCTTCATTAGTTCCTCTTAGTAGAACAGTGTTCAACTAATAGAAAAAACTGGTCATTAGCATAGATTCTTCATGCATTCATTGGTATTAATAGTGACACCTGAAAATGCGTCTCTACCCAAAACCTTAAGTAAAGTTTTCTCTAAAATCTCTGGTTTTTTTTTAATATCACGAATCAAATACAAAATTCCTTTCCGTCATCCGGAACAGGATGCATCTATCTATTGAATAAAAAAAACGCAGTTCATCAGCGAGAACTATATCGGATGTAAATGTACGGTTGTAGATACACAGAAGAACAATATCCAAACCCTCCATTAGATGTTCTTTACCTTACGGAATGTTTTTTTTTGATTTTAAATGTAAAATGAAAGAAGTAATTCAGAAAATACGTTAAATAAAAAGATATGGGACATTTATAACTTTTGCTGCAATATCATTTTATTAGTTGATAAAGACTTTGAAAACAAGCCAGATTAGATTATACTCTTGTGATTAATTGAAATCTCTTCTCTATAGTACGTATATTGCCATACAAGACAAGTTTAGAAGAAAATCTTATCATTTTCATAGTTTGAATATCGATATAGATCAAAAGCAAATCGTTTCATATCGTTGTGAAAAAGTATTTGTCGCATACTTTCTCATTATGACTATCTAATTCTTCTATTTGTTCTTCGATATTAATGTTTTCATTAATATTATAGAAATAAATCGATCAAGAACATTTTTAAAAATTTGTGTTTTTTTTAATCTACTTATATTGATTGAGAGCTATGGAATAAAAATAAATCGTGTAAAATTTTATTAGCTACTTACTTTGTTATTTTACAACTCTATAATAAACTATTTATACATTATCATATCTCAGTTATTTTTATGATTCATCATCTTATATTTAAGAGAGAATGCTGACGTTTGATTAAAGGTGAAAGAAAAAATAATTTAAACTGTATTGCTTTGCAGTATTTTATCCAGAGAGATACTCAGGGGGAGGAGCATCGCTCCCCCGAGAATCGAGTTCGCTCCCCCGAAAGTCGAAGTATATGCCACGGGAAGTACATGTTTTTCCCCTCCGAGGCTATTGACAGGTTCTCTTGAAGCTTCAAATGGCTCCTCGGAGAAAAAGTCCTAGATAAAACACTGTTTCTTTGTTACAAAATCTCTTTTCGAAATCGTTTTCAATTGAAAACAATCGATGACGTATGCGATACTGAGTTTAGATATATATATATATATAAATAAACGACATTAAAAAATATGGTTCCTTTATTGAAATATAAGGAAATAATAGTTTTTTTTTCTTTCATAAACTGCGTAAATACCTTTTTTTTTTTGAAAAAAACAAACGTGATTCGTACCTCATTATGTCAACATAGGAGCAGAACATGGCAAAAAAAAGAATATGCTTGAGAAGACATTCTACGCAATTCGAACTTCTATTGGAAAAAAAAATCATATGAAATATTTAATTTGCAAAAAATAACTCATACCTATATGCCTTATGAATGGTAAACACAAAGAGACTTGATTCGAATGTGATAAAAATATACTATGAAAATTCTCTATGCACTATCTCTATTATTTAACTATTATCTATCAAAATATATATGATTTGCAGTTGAAGAATATAATCATAAAATGAAAACTTTATAAGTTGAAATCTATTCAATCAAACTCGCTAAAATAAATAAATTAATACTTTTCCAAGTGTGTAAAGTTACTAGAAGAAGCTTACTTGACTATTCAGAAAAAAAAAATTCTTCTCTCCTTTGATGTGTTTGTGCATGTCTTCTCTTTCTCTTTCTCTTTGAAAAGAGTGGAGCGTTGAGAAAGATAAAATAATGAAGACATAAAGAAATGAGTCTGTTTTTTTTTATAAGAGCAGTTAACGAGCTTTTGCATTTTATTTTAATGATATGTTAGTCTTAGATTTGACAACAATAGATTCGAAATAACATAATAAAACTTTATAGCATAATTTAAGTAACTTTGATATTAGTAAATAAAAACAAAAATGAAATATACGATGTTCTCTCATGATACAAAGTTTAATGTATTTTTATTCTCTCTATGAGGATTCATCACAATAGGACAAATCGTTGGAAAGTATTCATTTTTGTGAACACGTGATTATACACGAATAAATCTTCGTATGAATGATTTGTTCGATGAAAACTGTTGCAATATCTTTTAGCATATTATATTTTTACGCCAGTAATTAATTTAATAAAAAAATGAATCATTTACTTCTAATGGTGATTTTTGAAAAAAAAAGCACACAAATAAATGATTGATCTCATAGAAATGAATAATATTCTGGATAGAACGATTAGATTTTATTACACTCTATTGAGAGTATTTTATTAATTCAGTGAACACTAAAAAACAAAAGAGCATAGAGCAATTTGAAAACTCGCATTTTTCACCTTTAGAATGATAACCTCGAGTAGACAAAAACAATATCTTTCTCTTGTTTGACTGATGTAATAAAAAAAAAAACAAATATATGAAAAAATATTTTTCATAACAAATGTGCTTTAGATACAATTTTTCTTTCAACATCTTTTTAGACACAACGTAATAATATCATTTAATTGAGATATTTTATCGATGAGAAATATTTTGTTTGACTTCTAATGTAATATTTTGTTACAAAATTATGTATGAGGTACATTATTTTTACCTTTATCTCTCGATGTTCATTTCGGGATCTATTTAATGCTTTAGCATTAAAAGAGAGTACAGGATATTGCTAATTATTGCCCTTAACTTTTCATCATCGGTCATCATATTGATTGCTATAAGACTAAAACAACGATAACTAATTGTCACCGTTTTTTTTTTGTTCTTATCAAATAATAAGTAAAAAAAAAAAGAAAGCAAACAGTCGGAAGATTTCGATAAAATTAAGATACGTAGGTTGTGCAATACTATTGCGTCGAAAACAAATCGGAGCAGGAAGAAAAAAACTTCCTAATATAAAACAATGAGAGTTTAACACTAACCATATATTCAATAAAAAATAGTGTTTAATCATTATTTCTCTTTGAATTTTAAAACACGTTAAAGAAATTAAAGGGATAATGCCCTCTGTTTTTTTCAGCATTTTTGGACCTCAAAGAGGATGTAATTTATCCGCAAGAAATTTTCATCACAGATAAAGCAGTTACTGTAAGGATACAAATATTCAAGTAAAAAAGTTTTAAACAAATATTTTCATAGAACCACATCGGATCTGCTTATACCTTCCTCTAACTTTGCCCGATCGGATTAAAAATTTCCTTTGAAACTTATTAGAGTATATTCCAGAACTGGTTTTAAGCTTTTTCAAAAATCTTGCTTTATTTTTTTTTTATGAAAAGTTTGGATCCAAAATCGAGATGCTATAATATTCAGAGCTTTATAAATCCATATAGAATACTCAAAAAAATGAATATTGTCGATTTTATATCTCGAGAATACTTCCAAGGATCTATGGTCGAAATTTCAGTTCAATCAGACAAATTTAGAGTGAGTCATAAGCAGGTCTCATATACTCCTATGAAAATCCATCGTTTCTCGAAAAATTGCGAAAACCTTTTCAAAAGCATGATATTCATTCATTAGAGATTAAAAATTGTTATTATATAAAATTTTAATGCTTTCTATTTAGAAATGGCTTCATTCAATTTATCTTTTTTACGTAAATTTATAAATAATACAAATGAATGTTTGGTAACGAGATGAATATCGTGTAAGAAAAAAATGCATGGCAATTATTTTCGTTAATACTATTGATTTGTTCTTATTCAAATAATTTATTTATCAATATTCAGAAAATTTGAAACATAAATAATCCTATTGATATTTGATCAATATTTTAATATCGATATTATTTATTTTCGATTGTATATCAAAAATAGCAACTATTTACCATAGAATGTTTTCATTGTCAATGAAATTAATACTTTTTGCTTAAAAGAAAATTGAATATCATCGTTCTTCAAAGTTATTAATATGGGTATTAATATCCAAGTTAAAAAAACAACACTGAAATGGCCAATTAAAATGTTGTTAGATATTTTTAAAAAAATTTATTAGATCGGAAAATTCTCACGAAGTTTTATTAATTTGAGTTTATTGAATTGTGTAAATTTCTGAAGAACATTGATTTTATTTAATATTCAATTTCAAGTTTTTAAATCTATAAAGATGTTTGATAGAATCAGTTATATTGTATAATTCTGCTATGACATAGATTTTCAATCAATCAGACAACTACTTCATTCTTATAATCATTGTAATTAAGCTTGATAATTATCAAACTAGATTATGCATAATTTTTTTTAAAAATTAGTAAAACAAATATGCATTTAAAAAATGTTTCTTGTCGGTTTTATATTCTTCTTTTGAAAAATGGTATGTTATAGAGAAAAAGGGTATGGATGTGAGATATACGTCTGGATCTTGTTTTCACTTACATTCACATTCTCGATCAGAAGTTAAAATGATAAAAAGAAAAATGGTCGACTTCTTGAAATTTTTTTATAAGTTGATGGAGCATAATGGAGAATTTAAATCCAACGCTAGTTAATGAATACTGACAGAGGACTAATTCATGATCAAATCAGCATCAATATTCGAGCAATAAGTAATAGCATAATTCAAACGTTTATACATGATTTCTTTGGTTGAATATGAAGGTAAATAAAGATCAGAGGTACATGCGCATGACTTTAGCAAAGAAATCTGTCTAAAATATCTGAATTATATTCTATTCGTGCTAAAAAGTTCTAATCGAACAGGTTTCGATCTGATTTCTAATGCAAAAGTGATCCAATACAATTGAACTAGTAGATTATCAGATACCGTATAGTGGATTATGACCATGAATCTCAGCATGGTTATATTTTATTTTTGTTATCCATTACAAGCATCAGATAAGACCTTAGTCTTTACTCATTGAAAATGATCATTTGTAAATCGATTGCAAAAATTAAATAACGCATGACATGCGAAATATTTTAAAGTACTTTTTGTAGTAAGCTTTAGGAACTATCAATTTTGAAAAGGAACATTGGCTCAATCGTTGCATCTCAAAAATAATGAACTTCCAAAATCGATGAATTAGAAAAAAGCATGACTTTTCTAAATTAAATATTCTCTTCCAATTATGGATATTAGCTAGAAAACACGAGCGAACTCTACAAATGAATACTACTTGCTAGTAATTATCATCATTTATCAAAGATGCAAAAAAATAAATTTCATAATTATAATAATATAACTAGAGTTGAATTCTCTGACACTTGATTTCAATATTATACAATCTTACTGAATAAGGAAATTTTGACTAGGCAATAAATAATCAATGATCTGAAATTCAAAGCAAATAATAAATATTTTAAATTTGCCTAAATACAAATTCTGTCTCAAACATATATATGCACTGGAGCTAATAATATTATAGAATACACCATATGAATATCAAACTTGATGCAGTTCATCTCGAATTGATTGATTCCTCTTGAAGACACCATGATGAAAGACCTCCAAACTACTAAGATATGGCCTTGGAGCAACATAATTCATCTTGCAAAGGAAAAAAAAAATCAATAAGTAAACTGATGACTATGAATAAATAAAAACATTCACACTTAATTGATTTAAGACACGTAGATATAAGCTTCTAAAGTGTGAAATGAATGTTTATAAGTTATCGAAGTTTCTGAAACTCAACAAAAAAAACTTTATCTTTGCTAAGATTTTTGAACCTCTATTTTCTAGATCTATAAACTATTTTGAATTTTCTGAGTTTTTCCTCTTTCACTTTTATTTGTAAAGGATTCTGATTCTCATTATCACAAACAGAAAGAAGAGAAAAAAAAAGTTAAAAATGTCACGCTCAAAGCTTTACAAAGTATATTAGAACTGGAAAGAAAAACTGATCATGTGCTGGTTTAAAGCTCGTGTAGATATAAATTTAAAAAAAAAATCAATAAATGATTTATAGCCTGAATAAAAACGAATTGTTTATCATTTGAATATTTATGATTTATTTCCGAGCCATCGTGGACCTAGACCAGAAACTCCTTGATAATCTAATTCGTGTTTTGTTTGCATTGATGCACATTGACAACAACATGATGAAATACATTGATCGTAACATAAGTTACCCTTTATATATTTTTTTTTGATGAAAAGAACAATAAGAAATATTGTTTGAATTTCAATGAAAAATTTAAAGTAGACACTTACTCTGATTCGAAATGCTCCTCGTACTTTTGATCGTACTGCTAAGAGAGCAATTGGTGCGTTACAGCAACCAGCCCAAAAACTTTCTCCAGCACGTTCAGCCACAAGACCAACATACCAACAGCAACAACAACATGCAATAGCAGCTGGAATTCGAAGAAAAAACATAACAAATTAATTAATAAACATCACTGAAAACTTCACTTACAGTCTGGACAGTCAAGCATTGAGCTAAATAAACCAGAATGCCAATCTTTATCGAAATTAGTTAAATGTTGGGTAGCATTTCCACCATGTGGTTGTGATGTAACTGGTTGTCTATATGTCAGTTATTGTAATAATAAACGAAGAAAAGTTGCTTTGAGAAAAAAAGATCTATTGTGCATATATACTTACCCTGCCATTTTTTTCAATATATTATATTGTTTTAATAATTATCTAAAGTTGAATAAATGTTTCAAAATTGTTGATTTGAATGTTTTAAAAATGGAATATGAAAAAACGAAAGAGTTACTTGTTGTATATTCCAGTATAAATGAAAATTATGAATGAATTTGTAAGTGTAATTGAACTATATAGAATGTATATGTGTTGCCAATAGAGATTTCTCTCTTTCTCCTTCTCTTTCTTTGTGTATTTTAATAAGCTCTTTGCTTTTTCGTATCGCTCTTCAATAAAAATGGAATTATAGCAATGACAAGGAGTTTGATACAATAGAGAGAAGAAAAGTTGCTATGGTTATTGTTGTTTGTTATCGTTTAGAAAGAGAAAGTTTGATGATGACGATTTATTTTTTGTTTGTTTGAAAAAAATCAAAGTGAATGAAAAAGTTGTGAATGTGAGGGTGAATGAGTGAAAGTGAAGGCGTGAGATGGTTGGTGAAAATGAGGATGAGGATAGGAATAAGAGTATGAGGTGGATGAATGATGAACTATAACTTCGACATCATCCAACTTCACCCACACCCAAAGTGAAACTCAGGAGTGTCGGATTTATGGTCTTATCTAATGGTGTCCTTTAAAAGGATTTTTCTACAAAACAAAACTAAACGTGATCTCAACTATAGTCTCATAGTTTTCGTGAAGCTATGTAGATGAACTTCTAATTTCTATACTCAATGAGTCGTGAGATATCACAATCAGCCATCGATTAACCTCGTAAGGAAGGGTTCAAAATCGAAAAAATAAAGAAAAGTGATTTTGCATGCAAAAGTACTTTATCAATGAGTTATCGAGCGTGTCACAGACTCTCGATTATTGAATTTCTAAGTGCCTAAAATATAAAATCTCTTGCAGTGAGCTTTTACAATTGGATTTTTCTTATGATTCATCAAGAACAGTAACTAATATTTTGTGCTAATTATCGATTTTATTTGAAAAACGAATAGTAATTTTAGTATGAACTCGATGTGATGGTAGAGATGGATCTTAAAACTAGTAGAAGAGTCAGTCATATCATCCTAGTTAAACTGACAGAAGACTAGAATCTTCTTAGATCTCTAAAATTCTGAGCTTCAAAATTCTCTACATTACAACGACACAACTATGGAACTATTGTAATCATCAGCGAAATCTCCTGAGCCTTATATTTCAGTGTAAGTCACTGTGGCAAGAGCAACATTTCAATATGTCTATTAATCTCTGAATGGAACTCGAAAATTAGCCATAAAAGAAAATAAATGAATTGTTCTTACTAAAGAATTTTAGATAAGCTCAAGATGTGAGGTATGCATGGTAAGTCTGATGAACAGAAGTTCATTCTGACATTTATGTGAAGTAGATATAACAAGAAACCTAGACTTGATCATATCTTTTTAAATATTCCGATTTCAACGATGATGGATTATGCACAGCAAAAGCTCTCTGATGAAGTTATTGTGAAAGCACAGTATCGCAATTCTTTGGTGATTCTATTTCATATGGTACCACTTCTATTTATCTATTAGAATGGCCGAGAAAAATCATTCACCTTGAGAGCGAAGGGTATGAGAAAATACAGTATCAACTCTTAACCATTTACTATTATCCTCACCATTAAGCTTTTGACATGAAGCTAGCATAAAAATCTCTCATTATCATTATGAAAAACCCAGCTCAATATTCAATAATCATTACTTTTTTCAATTACTTTTGTTGTTGAAGAAATTCATAATTGTTTTCACTGGATGTATCATGTAAAAGTATGTCAAGAGACATTCTTTTGAAAATAATGCCATCTATAATGGTCAGGGTTTTACAGAACCTCAAGAATTCTTGTTGAAAAATTGATTAACTGTATTTATCCAAGGTTTTTTTTGTCAATGTATATAATTCGTACTGAAAAACAACAAAAAAAAGGAGTAAACGTTACACGAATATTAATCCTGAAACGCCCACCTTTCGAACTACCACTCGTTGACCACCTGGGATCCGTACGAACCCCAGTCTGATAAAATAGAACCAATATACTATATTACCATTGTTTTATAATGGAACTATAATGGTTCTGAAGGAGACTTATGTTTAACAAGAACAAACAGAACAGAAGTTAATTTGAATGGTATTTATTCAATCTTTTTTACTTTGCCCTCGTCTTCTAGCATGATTTCTTTTTTCCTTAGAACAAATTTCTGTAGCATGAAACGTAGCTGGAAACTAATTGTTCCTGAAGTAACGCTCTTTTTTTTACAGCATCGGTATGATTGATTGTTGTTATCGGCGTATTCTACTAGGTGTCCCTAAAGTATCGATGGAAAGTCAAGATCCTATCTAAGGCTACAATAATAAAATATTGAAAAGAATTTCACTGGGGTCCAAGTGGACCCCAAGTGGGCAACAAGCGTTCACACGTACTTCGAGATAGTTTATCACATAAACAACTAGTTATGACGAACGGCTGACGTCAGCGGCATATAGTACTAATCTTCACTACAGTATACCTAGAGAGGCAGGATTCGATCTGATGTTGTGTGTGAATAAGACTAAAACGAAATTAGTTGGGGTCCAGGCGGACCCCAGGTGGGCGTTTCAGGGTTAAATAAATTTATTTATCCGGTTTTATTTAGAACTTGTCTCAATGAAGTGTTCAAAGTAAGTATTTTGTTTCGGTAAACAAATTTTATTTGTTGTCTATAGGAAAGGTGGGTAGAGGTGAAAATCGTCCTGAGGCAGCATATAAATGGAGTCGTATACGAGTAAAAACGGTGTAAATAACTCATAGTACTGCGAGAATGCGGCCCTGGCATTGCTCATCGTTAATCACTGGAAATGACCTAAAACGACGACGTTTGCATTCCAGAGAAAAGCAGTCTTCAATCTGAGTTGACGGTAAACGGTAAAAAACGGCGATCATTTTTCATTGTTTCGGGCAATAATTACACCATTTTTTCACCGTCTTAGGCATATTACCCAGTGGAAATTATTTATTAAAAAAACGGCAAAGAACGCGCTTCATAGTTTAGTAAACGCATTCATAAACGAAAACATACTTGCTGAATCTAAAGGAACGCATTCTTTGCTGTTTCACATTATTATGGAATGCTTTCTTCTAAACGCAAAGACCGTCTCTATCTAGATAGAAAGCGTTCTGAACCGTTTCATAAACCAGTAGAATGAGTTTCTATCCATTCTTTTTTGGAATGGTCAGGATAAAGTTCTATCAAAATGAGATTGTTTTCTTTGACGTTCTCTAGGGGAACACCCGAGAATGGTTTTTTTTTTGAATTGATGAACGCATTTCAGACATTCTAACGTCATTCTTAGAAAAAAAGAACGTATTCTCCAATGTTTCTCTAAATTGTTGAACGCTTCATCTGGATTCAATGTCGATTTTGATTCAATATTGACAGCTCTGGAGCACAACACATTGAAAATGGCGCCAAAAATGGTGGAACATCGATGAATTGTATCCCACAGCTGGCAGTCCAGATTTCTAAAAAAAAAAATATTTCGAATAATAGTTTGAGCTACGAAAAATCGGAGCACACCATTGGATAGAGCTCGTCGGATTGTACTAGAACAGATCTCTCGACGAATCATGTGTTAACTTCACTTACTTCTCTTCAACGATTCTTGTAGGGAATGTGAATCTTGATGATAATGACCAAGAACGCGTTCCAAAAAAAAAACTTAGCTTTTTTTTTAAGAAAAAAAAATGTTTTGCTATAAAAGTGGAATGAGTTCCAAAATGGAACGGTCAAGAACGCATTTCATTTCTATAGCAAAACGTTTTTTTTTTAAATTTTCTACGAAAGAGAAACGTGTTCTTTGCAGTTTTTTCTTGAT